GCACACAACCACACACATCCATGTCCATTCCCTGGTTGGGTACTCTGCCCTTCTCACAGCCCAAGGGAGAAAGAGAATAAAAGGAACCCAGGAGTGGGAGGTAGCCACTCATAGGGCAAGGGATGATGGCAGCAGCTCTCAAGAGGGGACAGGAGGAACTCAGGTGGTCAGTACTATGGGGAGGTGACCTCAGGACACATGGCCTCACACTCCTCCCTCTTACCAAAGACACTTCTATCCGAGGAGCACTATGCACTGGGACGTCACCTGCATCCCCAGGTTCGGCCACCCCCTATCACCTCAAGTTTAAGTCTTCCTCCTTTTTCTGCCACTCTTTTCCATATGGTGAAGTGTTATGCACCTTTCTGAGCCTTCTGAGTCCTCTACAAGCCTCCTCCCCACCGCACTCTCCACTCATTGATAGTCTAAAGGAGTACTGGGGTGACTGGAAACCTCAAGAGCAACCCTCTCCCTCCCAGCCCCCTCCACCAAACTGCACCACTGAGAAATGATTAAAATGATTATTTGTCCAAATAGCCTCTCTCAGGTAATACCCTTCTCTGGCTTTATAAGAGATGAGGGAAAGAAACCATTTTAGAAGCCAGACTGCTGAATAAAGGAGTCCCAGCAGCCCCCACCTGAAATCGGACTCCACAATAATTCAAGGGCAGCTCCTAGAACCAGCTTCTTTAGAATACAGTGCCTTGTTTTCACCTTCTTTTAAAATTTTTTTTCAGTTGTAGATGGACACGATACCTTTGTTTCGTTTATTTATTTTTAGTAGATGGACACAATACCTTTATTTTAGTTATTTATTTTTTATGTGGTGCTGAGGATGGACCCCAGAGCCTCACACGTTAGGCAAGCACCGTACCACTGAGCTACAACCCCAGCCCCTTGGTTTCCCCTTCTGACATGATGGCACCCTGTGGTCCTGCTAAGACTTATAAAGTCATTTGTATGTAAGCCCCAGATCACAAGCTCAGAGCCAGAAGGATTAAGAGACTGGAAAACTCAGCAGAGATAATGGTTGTGTGCAAGCACACCTGGTCACACCTGCAAGCTATATGTGTATGCCTACACACGTGCTGAGACAGACCTCACTCCAACTGCCCTTGACAGTGTCAGGGAATATTCCCAGCCAGGATCAGGCAGAAGACAAGGCCTTCCTTGTGAACCCCTCTCCCAATATGTCTGTCCTGTTTCCTAGAGAATCAAGCCAAATCTATTCCAATGGGGCTTCAGGGTTATCCATGCTCCAGGCAGACCCTCCTCATCCAAGATCCACAGGCCATTTACCACTCCCATGCTCTCCTGGTCTCCTCTCTCCCAGCCCAGCACACCCTCATATACCCATTCCTGGATCCCTAATATTCCCAGCTTCTTCCTTCACTTCCTGCTCAAACGGAAGTCCCATTTCTGACACCAAGTCTCCCTCTCCTCCTTTCCTCTTCGCCCTTCGTGGTGTGCACTGTCTGTTACCACTGACTTCAGCCTGAGAGTTTGGTCTTGCAAAGCAAATTGCAAGTCCTTACAGGAAATGATAGCTTGCCACCTGGACAGACAGGTGGAACCACAGGAACCTTCTAGAATGACTAGAGGGAGGTTGGGGAGGTGTGAATTGTCCAGCTCCAGGTTCTGGCTGTGGCCCCTGCCAGCTCTCAGGGGCCACTAACAACAACCTTGACATGCATGTGGCCCCTTAGGATTCTTATGGGAGACCCTGGGAAGTCCCTGCAACGCCACCTTGTCCCTAGGAAGCAGGG